TTTAATGATGAAATTTCAGTTCAAAATATAGAAAATAAATAATAATAAGCCATTTTAATTGTATTCGTTTGGCATCTAATAATAATTATTTTTCCACTCATATTAATATTTAAATAATTTAACTTAAATCAAAATTCTGAACATTTTATAAATTTTCATTGCATAACAGTTTTCCCTTAACATATATTCCAAGCAAAGTAATTTAAGTAAAAAAGAGGCACATTTCTGAAATCAGAAGACGGGAAATTGCTTCATGCAGTCATCCTTTAACAGTAAAAGCTTAACTAACCCGCATACTCGGAAATTGCCGAATATTCCGGATAGTAACTGGAAAAAGAGGAGTGGGGGAGATTGTAGCCGTTCTTTAGATTTCTCGGCTAAATAAATGATTTTGACATTTCGATATGTGCATCATATAAAAACAGACCAACGGAACTGAGAAATATTCTGCTTAGAAAGCACAGTAAAACTCTTTTAAGTGTTCATAAACAAATCTCGGACTGAACATCAAAATTAATTATCTCTGCAAAATACCGCAAACGTTATTGCGTGCAATACGTGTGCGGCGTAATTCTTCCACATGTGATATTACGCAATCGGAATCAACAGCTGCCTGGTATTCGGAGAATAAAGAACTAAATAAAGGAAGAAAAAGAGACTTACTAATCTGGGGGGTGTTTCTGATTCTAATTTTCAACAGACTGCGTTAAATTTCCGGAATAGAATCAATCTTCGCTTAGGTTGGGTAGACTGCCAAAACTTTCAGTCCTATTCAATCTAGATTGGACAGTGACAAAAAAAAAAAAAAAAAAAAAAGTACCCGCATGCTTCAATATTAGAGAGTTTGCAGAGAAAGAGGAGAACCTCTCAACCTCCGTACTTAATGTATTGGGGGGGGCGAAATTATTTTGACTATTCGATTACTTTCCTTTTATTTAAGCCATTTCGAATATTATTCCCTAGACAGCTAATCTGTGTAAAAACACACCCATTTTTGGAAGTTTATCTATACTTCAGCAGTTACTGCAACTATATTATTATAAATATTCATGCATATACTCATAATATAAGCAAAACAATCATAATAAACACGAATATGAACTGACCACGTGGAACGAGAATGCAAATTATTAAAATCTTGATAGAAATTCAAACGTGTGTAGTATTTGGTTGGGAGGAAAAGAATACTGAATGTACCGGAATTGTCTACCATTTTCGCAATTCTTTGACAATAGAACGACGTGCACCTGTCTGTACTCTTGCATGCACCATAGGTTACGGTAATGCAGAAAAAGGGGGGGAAAGCAATTTCCGGGAGTATGATTCACCATCTGACGTTGCATATAAGGAAGAAAAGTTGTTTATTTAGTTTTGGCTTTGGTACAGGAAAAAAATGCGTGCTCATTAAAAAAAGCACTAAAAGCAAAAAATAAGCATTAAAAACAAAAAAAATAAGGGCTTTAAAGAAAAAGTAAGCACCTATAATAAGTGCCTTTATATTTTATTTTCAAATATAAGGACTTATAAGCACTTGTAAGGACCGCTACGAACCCTGATAAAAACACACACAAATTCAATTTCTTTTCTGGTATTTGAACTTGAGCTATTATTGCTCAATGTTCTTATCCATTTGGCTACTGGTGGAGCAGATATCAAATTTAACCACTTGAAATGAACATGTAGACTCAAGCTTACTTGAGAAGACAGGAATGGGAGTACATAAGCCTGTATTTCACCATGTTACATACATTGCTACTTAATATATCAAAATGTATGCCTCCCTCTCTTTTTTCCCCCTCGTTTTGCACCTGTATGAGTAACCAAAACCATGACATTGAATAAGTGGATTTGGGATATATTTTTTTTTTCCAAAAAATGCTTTGTCAATGACATATTAATTTAATAGCCAATGAAGGAATTCATTTCTCGAGACACTGATTTTTTTACAAATGTGATATGATATTGCCACATGTGTGCCAGAACTGCTGAAGCTTACTTTCATTTAACATATAGATGGCTTCGTTTTATTCTCTTCATTTTTGTCCTTAAAATCAGCTATTTCATTTGTAATAGCTCAATATTATATCAGATAGATGTTTACCCAATACACATTCCACTCCAGATAAATTTTATTACGAATCTCTGAAAATGTCAGGCCATTTCCTGTGGTAACAAATGCAGATGCGAGAATAAAATATTAAAAGAATAATGTTATCCCCAAATTTGCTACAAGAGATCTTCACTAAATGACAAAGAAAATTTTTATTCACCTATTAACTAAAATAATAATACACCTGCAAAGGAGCTTCAAATTACTATCAGTAGAACTGAGTGAGTAATTTATTGTATACGAAAACATACACACACACACACACACACACAGAAAATTAATATTCAGCATACATTGATTGTCAAGGATAAATACAAAGGGCTAGCTCATTTCTTTGTTCGACTCCTCGCCGACGCGAGCCTAATGGGGGGACTTAACAGGCAGTAATCTGACGTCACTGTGATGCCACCTGTTCTGATTTCCCGCTTTTAAAACAGTAGTTTCATTCAGCTGCGAGACGATTTTCTAGAGGTTACATATCCCAAATTAATTTTAATCAATATATATATCTGTTTTCTAATAATGTATATATTTAAAATAATTTATATATATGTAATTTTAATCAGTTTTTATTTTAAGTTCTATATTGTTAAGTACCATTTATGTAATATGTCTTTTTGCGCTGTAGTAACGTGCTGTAGCACTTACAGAAGTACGAAAGGATGAGATATTTTATTTCATGGTACCAAAGGATCCAAATGAGATTTTGCTTTTGACGAAAGAATGGATACACAAATGTCAAAGACAAGATTCTATTAATGTGAAGAGCGGAAAAATTTGCAGCGAACATTTTCTATGCAGTGTTTATGAAGATGATATGAAAAATTGCTTGTTTGGATAGCCACAAAAAGAAACTGTTGAAATGGAATGCTGTGCCGAAAGTAAATTATGATGACAATAATAAATCGAAATTGATGATGACAATAATAAATCAAATTTTAATGATTTTGAAATAAAACTCACAAATGAAAATGTAGATATTCCTGAATGCCCTAAGTTTAAGGATAAACAAGAATGCATTGATAATTTGAAGAACAAAATAATATCCTTAGAAAATTGTATTAAAGTATTGAAAAATAGAGAAAAGAAAAATTTTAGAATGTTTGTTCAGCGGCAAAGAAGGTGGACGACACACCTCTAGACAGAAATTGGTATCAGAAATTAAAATCTCAAATAGCGAAATTTTTTTTTTGGGGGGGGGGAAGCACAAATCGGAGAATTTGGAAAAAATGTCTAAAGCCTATTTTTTTATAAAGACGCAGATTAATGCATTACTGAAAAAGAAGGAAAAAATCAGGTGGACTAGTGAAGACATTTCACGTTGCATTGTTATAAGAGCTCTGTCATCTTAAAGCTATGGATTTTGAAAAGAAAAAAATTGGAATATCTTTACCTAGTATTAGCAAATTAAAGAAATGGTGAGCTAAATTTTAGTGTAGTCCAAGAATTCAAAGTGATGTTCTTACTCTAAAGATGGAAAGAGGCGAATATTTGTATTCTGTCGAAAACATATGCGTTCTCAGTTTCGACGAAATGCATATAGATTGACAACTCTGCTATGACTCTAAACTGGACCAAGTTCTCGGTTCTTTTCAAAATGTGCAGTTTGTTTTAATCAGAGGTCTCATTTCGCGCTCTGCCTCAAATTACTGAGAAACCACATTTTAGATAAAGGATTTGTTTTAGAAGATGGAACTGTTTTAAAATTTGATATTATTAACCGAATTATTTAATGGTCAAGGGAAACGAGAGACAAAAAGTCGCTCCAGAGAAAACATTATTTTCAAAATGTACCGCGAAAGTTATACTCCACCCCACAGGAAATCAAAAAGCATCTGACTTCTGTGAGTTAATCGATAATATCTTCGGTATTATGAATAGTACCAAAATAGTACCAACAAGAACAACAAGTATTTAACAAACTAATTTTGTTAAGTACTTGTTAAAGTTATTCTTATTGTATCCTTTGTAACTAATTATTGATTCGAGATTTTGTGCTAAATTAGCATTCTAGCAGATAAAATATAATAGTATAAAACATCAAAGTAATTGGCATAAAAAGACTTGCTTCCTTTACTCACACTTTTGAAAAATTAAATAACTGTTTAGGTACTCTCTGATAAAGCTATTTTGTCAAAATTTAGGTAACAATCTTACATACATTTATTTAATTGTAATATAGATATAAGTATAAATTACAAAATTATTTAAAAAATATCTATTATTATATTGAATCGGAAGAGAATTATAACAATGCAAAATTTACAATTAGGCAAAAAATCAAACGTAGGTTAGCAGAAATGTTGCCATATATGTCATATATGTTTAAAACTATGTCAATGTAAAATTGTTTTTTGAGTAAATTTAAATAGCTGCTATTATAGTTATCTTAGAAGCAGTGTAAAAATTCTCTTAGTTAACATGCAGATACAGAAATGATTAGAAATAAACGTGCATTGAATAAAAAACCTGCAAATAAAAATTTTAAAAAACCCACGGAACTTTATGTTAAAAGAAAAGCACATTTTATCTATTATTTTAAAATTGAGTAAGTATTATTACATTTTTTAATGGTTCAGTCTAAAATGCTTAAAGCAGTAACATTGTCTCTTCCAAATTATAGCTATCTTTCACACACAGCTCATTTCAAATGCTGGTTCAAAAATGCTAATTTTCAAGCTGTGAATTGCATCTGCGCGCTCAGTGTCATCGTGACTATGTCATCACTTCTCACTTTCTGCTTCAGGGGGAAAAGCTCAATGAGCTAGCCCTTCTCTTCTAAGTCCTGATACATTGTATAAAAGCATAAAAAAAATGCCTAACAGACAACATGAGATTCATGAGGAATGATAAAAAACAGAGTAACATATGTAGAATTATTAATACTTACGTATTTTTTGCACCCACATAAGACATGATGTTCTGGTTAAAAAACTTGAGGACTAACGGTATACAATTTGCAAACATTAGCTGCTGGCTCATGTACTCAAACTGATATATGTGATTTAACTTCAGATGCTTTAAGAGAAGAAGCAAAATGCCTGATATTGCTTTAACAATAATTTCCTTGTGTCGGTTCACATCAATTCCTAATTTCAAAGACTGAATAACTGTCATTCTGTAATATAAAAGACAACAAATGTATCCTATTATGAGTTATAATTTACATAAAACACTGTTCATCTTTGAGATATGGGTTAGAAGCAGTAATACTGCATGCAGTTTCAAATCTGAATATAATTTTTGATTTCTAAAAAATTTATAACAGCCTGCTTTAAAAAAAAAAAAAACCCTTATCTATAATATAAAGAGCTAGTTACTGTATATTATGTGAGTTCATCTATGTTACACACTGCATTCTAAGGGGAAGGAAGAATTCTGACACACAAAATCAAAGAGGAGGAAATAAATCTATGATGTTGCACTTCATACTGTAAATTTAGATCATCTGCTTATAAGATGAATTGTCTAATAGCACCCATATTATTGTCCCATAAGTAACAAAAATGCACATACTGTGTTTTGTAACTCACTAGACAAAAAAAGAAGAGTTTTGAAACAAATTAAATTTTTGAAACATTGACATTACATTTAGAGCAACTGAACTTTTTCTTTAAATCTCCCAACTTTTCACTGCTTCCTGAAAACAGGAAATTAAGTTACTAAATGCCTTTTGTATGTTTGAATTTTGTGTTATTTAATTTTGCAATAATATATTAAACAGGAAGAAAAGTAACAGGAAAGTCACGAAAATCATGCTTTGGCTCAAAGATTAATGAACTGACATACTGCTCAGGCCAAGATGACCAGCATCATATGTTATATGTTAAAGACATAATGACAGCACCTAATCATCATCATCAGGTCATCTCGATTCTGCACCAGAGCATGGATGAAGACTTATTTGAATAGCACAACTTATACAACATTTAATTTATCTGGTTTATCTTAACATGTGGTTAATTTCACTCCCTGTCAATGGAGTGATATAAAAGTCTGTAAGTGTTTACGTGTTAATATTCTGAAAAATATGAACTTTTCATTTATATTTTTGTTTATCTTAAACTAATCAAATGACAGGATTGACTAGTATTTACACACATTTCATTCATTAAAGAAACACATAATTCATATTTTGGTATCTGCAGACTATGGAATTAGTTAACTAGTTTTTTTCAAACTATTTTAAATCTCAAAATAAAATTTTCATTTAATCAGAAAAAGAATCTGCATGTAAGCACTACTATGAAAACTCAAACCCACAAGACTTAAGGACAAATTGCATAAATATATGTAGGCAATTTGACCCATATATATGATATGATAGTTCAGAAATTGATGTCATAATGGAGCCAAGAATATGACTTACCAGGCCCAAGGCTAGATTAATAATTAGGCAATATAAGCATGCGCTTAGGGCATCAAGGAAAGAGGGCACCACTTGAAGAAGAGAGAATTATTGCCAGCAACTGCATGATTTAAAGATTGGAGTTCAAGAAAAGAGGTCGGCGATGTTCAATAGGAAGGAAATCATACTGCATCATGATAATGCCAGGCCACAAGTTGCTTTGGGGAGTTGTCAAAAAAAATTGCAGAACTAGGCTGAGAAATTCTGTCGCATCCATCATATTCCATAGACTTAGCATTCTCCAATTATCACTTGTTTATGTGCTTACAAAATTTTTTGAAGAGCAAAAAATTCAAAAATGAAGAAGGTATAAAACAAGCAGTGGTTCAACTTTTTGCATCAAAAGATACAAAATTTTTCAAAAATGGGATATACGAATTGACCTCATGCTGGCAAGAAGTCATTAATAATAATGGCAATTATATTATTTAAAAGTTTATTGACAGTACGAAAAATCCATATTTTGTGTTATTCCAAAGATGGACAGAACTTTCTGGTAGACCTAATAATGTATTCAACAAACGGAAGCAGCTGTGTTGCAAATGTGCAACTTTCGAGTGTTTGCGGGCCTATAAAGTCACATCCTGGCCAATAACAATACAGTGATTGACACTGGACAACATTGGACAGGATCAAACTTTTAGTCCTTAGGTAGTTGTGGGAGGGACAGGACTTGTGCTATGCATTTTGGTGAATCATGCAATCTTTGTGGGTCCTAATTCTAAAAATTTTGTAATTCCTAATTTTTGCTGCTTGGTGCTTCTCTAAAATCCCCCTAAATTCTCATACCTAGTGTGCTTGCACTAGCTCTGGTGCCAGCCTTGTGAATGGGTGGGGTTAGCATCTATCTATTGCACCTAAACAATTAGAAGCTTGAAGGTTGCCATGCATATATGTGATCTTACTAGACTTATACTGTTGATCTTAAAATCTGGAGTTGCCAATGTCCCAATGATGCCGTATCTCAGACTTTGTACATATATAGTACGTACAAAGTCTGTATGTATATATACAAGGTGAGACCGAAAAGTAATGTGACTCACCCCTACTTTCGAAAATGAGAACAGCCCGACGATCTGACACATGCGCATTATGATCTTTAGTATAAAATGTTGAAGTTCAGGGTCATATGCAAAGTTTCTTGTTTTGTGTTTGTTTGTGCAGTCACTTATATGTGAAAGGTGTTGGTGCATGGTGCATTACGTAATGGAGCAGAAAACAAATCTGAAATTCTGTTTTAAAATGGGTAAAACTGCTACGGAAACCTTGGAAATGCTTCAAAATGTGCATCGTGAAGAAACTTTATCTCTCAAAACAGTAGTATTTCAGTGGTTCAAACTTTTCTGTGAAGGTCATAAAAGCATGGAGGATAAGCATCACAGTGGAAGACTGCTGACAAGCAGAACAACAGCAAATGCTGAAAGAGTTAAGAAGTTATTGCTGCAAGATCGCCATTTGTCCGTCCGAATAATGGCGAACGAATTGAATCTTCCTCGTGAAATTGTCTGAACAATATTGATGCAGGATTTGGGTAAACGGAAACTTTGTGCGATGTTTGTCCCTCATTACTTAAGCGATAAACAAAAATAGCAGTAATTGGACTCCTGTGGTGACTTCACAACTTCATCAATGCAGCAGATAAAGGTGACATGTTTTTACAGTCAATCACCACAGGCGATGACACGTGGTGCTTTGCATATCATCCACAAATGAAACGGCAAAGCATGGAATGGTGCACTCCCTTATCGCCAAAATCGAGAAAGTTTAGTTTAAAAAAATCAATGGTTAAGACAATGTTCATTACCATTTTCGATGCACAGGGAATCCATAAAGAATACGTACTGGAAGGTCAAACAGTTAATGGTGAATTTTCTGCCATGTTATGAAGTGCCTCCTGGCTCGCATTCATCGTATTCGGCCCAATCTCGCTGCATCAGGCAAGTGGTTTCTGTTGTGTGATAATGCATGCCCTCATACTGCAATGTGTGTTAGATGGTTCCTCGTGCAGCAAAAGGTTACAGATTTATTTCACCCTCCTCATTCCCCTGATCTTGCATCAGCAGACGTTTTTCTCTTTCCACGATTGAAACTGGCACTAAAGTGACACTGATTTTCAAGCATCTCAGACATTCAAGCTGCTGTTACTAAGGAACTTAACACAGTCTCAAAGGAGGACTTTTTCAAAAGTTTGAAAAACTTTTATGAATGTTGTCAGAAGTGTATAGTAGATGGCAGGAACTACTTTGAAGGACAGTGATGTATTTATATGTAAATATAAAATAAAGTTATGACATCAGTCATGTTACTTTTCAGTCTCACCTTGTATATATATATATACAGTACAGAGTCCGAAATCCGGACGTCAAAACCACCACCAACGCTTTCTCATAGGCTTTATGCATGCCCAACTGATTTCCCCCTCTGCGCATAACAAAACATCTGGAGAGTCCCGATTCTTAATTTCACTTCAACACTAAATAAAATACCTTGTTATTGAAGAAAAAATAATTTTAGCATAAATTTGTACGATCAGTAATTTGGCTCAGTTGCTGCGTATCGGCTTGACATACATCTCAAACCGAAACATGCCACATGGATACATTGTTGATCTGACGCCAACTTGGCAAATCATTATTTATTATACTTTCCTTTAATCATGCATGTTTATCAAAACATGACAAATTGAATAATGACTCCTGTAGCAATGCCTAAACATTTTTTTTTTATGTAAGTAATTGAATAATATAGGAGTGTGGTAACCTTTTATGTTGACATTACACTTGACAATGATTACAAATTTAAGTTAAATGCGCTAAAAAATGTTGATGGGGAAAAATTTACAAAAAATTTCTTTCCATATGCTAAAAATAAAGTTTGTTAATGATATAGACCCAAAGATAAATTTAGGATTATATGAATTAAGAATAGCTGATTTGTTATTCTCATAAACCTAGAACCAGCGCCAGGGCTCGTATGGCCACATCGAGTTGCAGAATTCCCACAGAGGCTGCATGAGGTGGTAAGATATCTAGTGCCGGCCCTCAATAAGGCTTAAGTATATGGTGGGAATTTATTTATTAAGAACTCTGATAAGCCTTAACCCTTCGCGGCTCAGTGTTCCACTACATGGAACACCCAAATTGAATCGCTTCTGAAACCTTTAAATTCAACCGTAAATAGATAAAAATGCCTTTATAATATACTTTGAACTTTTCTTTTTAAACAGTAGATAGCAGCATATCACAAGGAGACACAGAATTTTCATTTATTATGTTATTAAAATCCACTTTTTTCAAGTAATTTTCTGTATTTTTTTAATAATATAAAAAATTTTATTTGGAAAAAAATTAGGCATAATTTTGCTGGCTGTACTCCAAATTATTTGTTCTATATTTTTTAAATCTTTCATACAAAAACCATACGCAGAATCATTGAATGAAACCAGGTGTTCCATTAGCGGGAACACTGTGCCTTTAGCGATCTCATGCTGTTACGAATCAGAACATCTGTGCTTAGGAGAGAACATCCATTGTTTACGTTGTTTTGGGGGGGGGTGAATTCAAACAAAGCAGTATTGAGGGGGTGAGGTGTGTTTTGTGCTATGAAATCGAATTTTTTGGGAGTAGTTTTTAGGCAGGAATTTTATTAGTAGCTTGACTCAACTTTACTTAGACCTGCGCAAATTTCGCATTTTAGTATCATTCCGTTTA